GAGGGAGGGAGGAGGAAGAAGGAGGAGGAGGAGGAAGAAGAAGGAGGAGGAGGAGGAAGAAGGAGGAAGAGGAAGAAGAAGAAGGAAGGAGGAAGGAGGAGGAGGAGGAGGAGGAGGAAGATGCTATCATGTCATCCCTTTTCATTAAATTAGACATATCCAATTCCTACAACCATTCTTCTCATGTTTTAGCCTCCAGCACACTAATAATGTTTGTTGCTCTTCCAGAGTCTCAGCATCCTTTTTTTATATCATGGCAACCAAAATTGGATGCAATATTTCAAGCGGGGCCTTACCAAGGCATTATGAAGTGGTATTAACACTCAAATATTGGAAGGCTGCTAGCGTGTCACCCCTTGGTCCTTTTTTTCATTAAAACTGACACATCTGATTCCTGCAACCATTCCCGTTTCAGCCTCCAGTCCCCTAATTATCTTTATTGGTCTTCTCTTCACTCTTTTTTTAGAATCTGAGAGCACTTTGCAAGGCAGGAATTAAATGAATCTCAATGTTCTTTTTTTTTTTTTTTTTGGAGTTTCTCAATCAATTCTTAATTAAACATTCTTAATTGATTCTTCCTTGGTTAAACCTTTCCAAATCCATAACTCGATGCCTTTTGGACTCTGGTCTGGCTTCGCAGTAGATTGCAGAAAGAGAGGACAAGTGAAAAACATACATTTAAGCCAACATCCTGTAGAAAACGCAGCCATAATCGTGGCTTGTCAGAAGCTGACCCTGGGGCTCTACAACTGTCATAAAGACGAGTCAGCTTTCCGCTGTCTGAGTTTCGATCACACAATCCCAGAAAATGCTGCGACGGTTGTGGGAAAAGCAATTATAAGTTGCTTTTCATTTCAACGCTGTCCTAACTTTGAACTGTCACTAAACAGAACCGTTGTAAGTCTGAGACCAGCTGATCTCTTTTGCTTGCTTGAAATCCAAAGAGCAGGAAACCCATTCAGTGGGTTGTGTTTTTTCTTCTTCTCCATTTCTCTCTGAAGTTTGCTGATCGAAAGAAGCTTCGGCGTTTTAAAGGGTTCATTTTCTGGATGAATGGCACCAAAAATTCACTGCTTGTTACTAAACATTTGACATGATTTCCTCCTGGGCGCCGTTTGAAGATTCTTGCCTTGTCAAACACACACACACACACAAAACCCAGCCTTGTGGTTTCTCTCTAGGTGTCTAACCTGTTATTTAACATTTTCAAGTAGGCTGAAATATGAAACGAGGATGAAGAATGTATTTTGGGAGCATCCAGAGAGTTGGCCCTATCTAACAAAATGAAATTCAGTGTAGAGAAAAGTAAAGTCTTATACTTAGGCAAGGAAAACTTTATAGACTGGGGTGAAACCAGGCTTAATAGCAGGAACTGGGAGAGGGATCTTGGAGTCTTAGTGGACAACCAGCTAAATAGGAGCATGCAGCCAAAAAAGCCAATGCAATCCTAAATTGCATTACCAGAGGGATACAATCGAGATCAAGGGAGGGACTAATACCCCTCTGTAAAGCCTTAGTAAGGCCACACCTAAAGTCTGCAACCAGTTTTGGTCACCACACTATAAAAAAGAGGTTGAGACCCTAGAAAAAGTGCAGAGAAGAGCAACCAGGAAGATGAGGGGACTGGAGGCTCAAACATACGACGGACGGTTGCAGGAACTGGGCCTGGCTAGTCTAGTGAAGAGAAGGACCAGGGGAGACAGGAGAGCAGCCTTCCAATATTTGAGGGGCTGCCACAGGGAGGAGGAGGGTGTCAAACTATTTTCTAAAGTACCCGAAGGCCAGACAGGGAAGAATGGATGGAAACTGATCCAGGAGAGATTCAACCTGGAAATAAGGAGGAATTTTCTGACAGGGAGAGCAATCAACCCATGGAACAGAAATTGCTTCGAAAGTTGTGGGAGCGCCATCACTGGAGGCTTTCAAGAAGATATATCTATATATCTATGAAACAGTTTAATCCAAGGGGTGGAGAGAGAGAGGCTATGGAAGACGGGACCCAGCTGGAGATGAGAATCAGGGGCAGGGGGACATCTGGATCCACTCTGGACCGACTGGGATTGAAACCCAGGCGTTCAACATCCTGTTTCTCACAAGGGCCTGCCAGCATTTTTGGTGGTTGGGGGGGGGGGGGGGGAAAGAACCACAACAGACTGTCCAGGAGGAAGGGAAGATGTATTTAAGTGGTAGACTGCTCTTACACAGGGAGGGTTTATTTTGAGGGAGCATAGCTAGAAAGGGTGACTTTGGGCTGATCACTGGGAGATCTATCTATCATCTATCTATCCTACTATCTATCCTACTATCTATCTATCATCTATCTATCTATCTATCTCTATCTATCCTACTATCTATCAATCAATCAATCAATCAATCAATCTATCTATCTATCTATCTATCTATCTATCTATCTATCTATCATCTATCTATCTATCTATCTATCTATCTATCTATCCATCCATCCATCCATCTATCCATCCATCCCTATCTATCTATCTATCTATCTATCTATCTATCATCTATCTATCTATCTATCTATCTATCTATCTATCTATCTATCTATCTATCTATCTATCTATCTATCTAATCTATCCTACTATCTATCTATCTATCTATCTATCTATCTATCTATCTATCTATCTA